TCTTTATTATTACTGTAAAAACTTATCTAGTGCAAGCAGTATATAAAAACGAAACTTTAACATGGTTGGGGCAAGTAGGATATTATGTATAGTTTTCTATATGATCGGCGTGACTTGTCACCTTTGCTTATCGGGCACACTTAATACTTCAATCAGACTTAGAAGTGTAAAATCGATTTTTCTCTTGTTACTTTCAAGAATATCATTACTAAAAATATTAGAATCTCTACTAAAATGTGGGTACTGACTATATAATTCAGGCTCCAAACTAATTTTACCATCAAAATAATACATACCGCTTGTAATATTCACAGCACTACAACATTTGTCATTACCATTATAACCGCTGTCTTTATTGCTGCATTTAAAACTTTTTTCGCAGAAAGCAGATTCAGAAAAATAATTAAGTCGTATATCAGATAGAGTTGCGTGTTCTAGGCCTCTGGCAAAAGAAGAGTATAAATAAGAACTACAATAAAAGGGGTAGTTGGTTTTCAGTTGGTTGTAATAAAAAGAGACTTCCAAAGGACAGCCTTTATAAAGTAAAATCATCAAATCAAACCATATTGCAGGCTTCCGAATCTTACTTAAATCGTCATTTGGAGGTGTGATAATATTAAAATCCCACTCAATTTCATAATTAAAATTACCATAATTTAAGGATAAAAGCTCTGTTCGTAAATTATTTATTTCCTTAAGCCCACTCACTACGTCCCCTCTATTACTACCAGAACCCGTAGAAATATTTTTTTGCAAATCAATTTCAGTCTGAGCAATAAAGTCCGATAATGTATATGACGGCTGTGATTCAGAAAGAAGAGATAATCCGCCATCAAAAAGTTTAGTAGCACCAATAGTATCTTCCATATAAACAAAAGCTTTAAGGGCACAGGTTAAGACGATCAAGTCCACATTTTTATCATCCACAGCCTGATGATAGAGGGTTATGACACCCTCGAAGTCTCCTGCTTGCAACCGGCTGACCATCATAGAACCGTACACCACGTGACACGTCTGCCATTGCTGCTTTAAATGAGTAGGAGCGGCTTCATCCTTTCGCCATTCATTGCATCGCGTTTGAAAGTCTTTATAAAGAAGCTCTATAAGTTTCGCACTCGCATTAAAACAAAGCGCTGACTTAAATAACGTGGTAAATGTCCCTCGACGAGGGTGCACCCGAACTTTAAAAGGCTTTTCGTTATAAAAAGAGGCAGTATAAATACAATTGCTGGTACAGGAACCCTCAAAATAATACTTAAAAAGTTGAAAACAACACTTAAAGTCTATGTCACACAAGGCATTAATTAAGCGTTCAAAGGTAAGACAATTTATACGCAGGCCCTTTTTCTTCATAAAGTTATAGTCAGTTAAAGCAGTATCCGGGCGAAGTAATAAAGCCTTGCACATGTCAGCATTCGCCTCCTGCAATAAAAACTCGAGTTTTGATAAAGTCGGATGAAAATCCATCAACTTATAAAAAAGAGGAACGAATCGTTTATCAAGTAAAGGTAACAGAAGCTCTACAGCAAAGACTCTATCGTGAGTCCCTAATAAAAGCTGAGTTTCACCGATAATTCTATTAAAGTAACTCTGCACAATAATCTTACTTAAACTTGTTTCTTTTCCTTTATCAATTAAAGAAGAATAGTATTTTAAAAAATTGTTGTGATTATCTCTGACGGCGTCGCTGTTGCTCGCACGAAGAAAAGCAAGACCTCTTCTATAAAAATAATATGATATAATATCCAACTGGCACATATAAAACTTTTGTTTTATATGATTTTCTTCTAAAGAATAGGGCAAGAGTATTTCTATCTGAGAATATAAATTGGGTTCCAGTGGGCAAAGATGAATGTTTAGCAACAGAGGAAATAATTTAACGCCACCGCTAAAAAAATAAACGCCCTTGTAAGCCTTAAAGAATAAAAATCTATACCGAAATCGATGGGCTATCTTTAAAAAGAAAACCATTGCCTCAACTTCTACATCATAACTTTCCCAACTGTCGTGAAAATTACGAAGGCTATCAACCCTTTCTATCGCGCGCCTACATTCTTTTTCAAAATAAAAAGAATGTAGAAGTGTTATTTTTTCACTGTTAAAAGCTAAATATGCGTTAGCAAGTACGGTAATTTCTTTGTAACTACCGATCGCTGTATTCTCTTGTGTAACAACATTTTGCTTCTGAGAACTTTTAAAATCCAAAAGGAACAGATCATCTTTGATAGCAGAAGGAAGGGACTCTCCTTCAATGTCAAGCCATTTTTGTAAATAATAATAAGCATTCTTCCAATTTTCAAGTTTAAGACTTTTAGTTAAACACATATAGAAGGCTAGAAAAAGTGGAAACTCAGTCCTAACTGGTTCCTTCTCTACAAAGTTTTCATTATGTGTAAATTTAATTCGTCCAAATGATAAACAACGAGGTTTCACGTAATTTACTATCCTGCAAGGTGAATCAAATACTCTCATCTTCAAAGTAGAGTAATTATAATAAGGTGGTAAAAACATAAATTGAAGAACTCTCACATAATTCCTTTTTACTTTAAAAGGCGAATTTTTTCCAAGTAAATTTATAACAAGCATTTTACAGAAATAACAAAATGTTATAGCAAACTTTATATAAAAAGAATAAAGTAAGAGTTTTTGCATCTTGTACTTTGCTGTATTTTATAATCATAATTATTCATAAATATCTGCATAAAATATATAAATTTCTTCTATAAAGTTTTTATACGATAAAGGTAAATTTGATAGTTTAGCTCTATTACTTTTCTAAGTTCAAGTAGTAACCTCCCTTCTAAAGTACGTTTTCCAAATCGGCGCTTGCCAATATCAAAGCCTATATATTCATTTAATAAATAACATAAATTATCCTCATATAACTAATATTACAAAAAAAGAAAAGATATTACGTATTTCGCAAAAAAAACAACCAGGAAAGATCAAGCAAATTTTTAGTGATGATTTGTCAAGATGCGACTAGAAAAATGTGTATTTTAAAAAAGCAATAGATCACGTGACTAGTAATGACACAGCTGGCTTTACAAAAAAAGTCAACCCTTACTTAAAAGCTTTCTGTTCAAAGTAACAAATAAAGGTAGCGTAAACGCTTTGGATGAATATTTAAAAGTTCTATATAATATCTTACTGCCGAATTGTTTTTGGAAAAAATTTAGGTATGATCCGTTTTAACATTTTTTATTCTTTTTAAGCTTAATTTTTTCATCTTTATTTTTATAGTCATACATAATTTATTTATAGTTTTTAAAAATAAAAGTTCAAAAGGGATTTTCAAAATTTTGCTAGTCCATAAATTATTTTATTACAAATAATAAAACGTAGCACGGAAAGGCCTTATGTAAAAGCATTACTGTCTTTTATATTACTTAATCTTTAACAAGTTTAATTTATAAGATTTATTGTATTGAAAATGTAAACTTTTGTAGAGCCTTAATATGAAAGTTAAGGTTTAAAAATTAAAGTTGATATGTAAAAAAATTTGGACCGAATTTTAGGAGAAAAATAAAATTATTTTAACTCGTCGAATTATTTCCATGCTGTTAAAGTTAAATTATTTTCACCTTGTACATTGGAAAAGATAAAGTTATAGGGGAGGCGGAGTTAAAGATTTAAATAGGGCCGCCTTCTAGAAGTTATACATTGTTAACTGGAAGAGATAAGTAATTCTCCTACAATTCTTTGACCGATTTTTTTAAAACTTACTTATAGTATACCTGCAAGCTTAACTGAAGGCTATCAACTGGTCGTTTGTAACTAGAGCAAAAATTTTTATCAAGTATAAGGAAAAATTTACTATTATATCTAATAGAAATTTTTGAATGCAAGGGCCCATACATATTAACTAATTATAAAAAAGTTATGAACTAGTGGTATGTTTAAAGTATAACTATTATTAAATACTATTTTTTATTTATCTTGCTAAATACTTCTAGTAAAGTCTAATTGCATTGCATATTAAAAGAATAGTGAAAATTTGCATGTTACTAGCTTTTTTGTAGTAGTTATACTCTATAAGAGTCCTTTTTAAATATCTTGCTTAAAGTTTAAATTACAAAATAAACCTTAAATTCTTTTTAAAAAAATATTATATAGGGGGAGGGCTAGAAGACAGATTATTCCTAATGCCATTAGAATTGAGTGGATCTTATATAATATTATCACGGTAGACTATACTGCTTTTATTTATCAAACTTATAAAAAAGGATATTATATGAAGTTTGTTCTTATATCAATCTTTTAGTTTATAGAACTATTTTAAAAGAAATTATTAACTTGTTATTAAGTAAAAAAAGCAATATAAAATGTCTTTTAGTATCTAAACTATTCTACTTATAAAAAGTATATATTAGGATGGGCTAACAAGTTTTCCGAATTACTCATATCACTTGTTTTGTTATCATGATAATCTCAACTAAAGCCTTATTAGTGTAATACCTTTTTTTGACGGATTGTAATATTAGTGTGTTAATTGATGTTATTAAACTTTCAGTATTAAATGCTTTTAAATTTAAAAAAATTTCTCCATGCTACTACTAAAGTAGCGTTCAGCTGAATTAACAAAATGTTATTATCAGTATCTTCTCAGTCGAAGATAATTTAAAATTTCAGTAAGATAGTAGAACAGCAGTAATTTATCAAAGTCATATTTCCTCTATGCCCTTCAAAAGCTATTAAAATCCCAAACTTTGAAATTAGGCCGTGTGGGCTTAGCTTATTCTTCAGGTATGCGTCATTAAAGCCATGTTTTTATGTATTTCATTGTAATATTTACCTTAGTTTACACTTTGATAGGCAAAAAGCATATTAACTTTTGTCAGACTAGTAAGGTACTAAAGAAATAAAGCCCTTTACAAGCAAAGCAGCCTAGCATTTAAAAAAGTTAAACCATAAAAAAAAATTTATATTTTCAAGAGAAGATTTGAAGTAAATCAAGTAATAAATTTTTTTTAGTTTTGGTTTTTATATAGGGAGTACAGTAGATGAGCATGTCTATTTAAAAAGTATGTGAGTTCATGGAGTGCGACACACATGAAACCATTACATTTTTTCACCCTATTCTCTCTGATTGTGGCTTTAAAAGTTCGAGTTCATTTTTCAATTCTTTTATATATTCAATGGCTATAAGTAATATAATGACATTAAATTAAAAAAATTAAAAATAGCCCACTTATTTTTTTCAACCTTTCTTAACTATGCAACATTTAGTGGGATGTTGCATTTCTCGTTTCTTTAGACGATTATTAGAATGAGCTAAGCTCGGAATAAGTTCCTTAAGTTCGCCTAAGAGCGTCATTAACTCCTGTCGCCTTTTCTTTTCAGAGAATCTGTGTACTATTCGACGTTTCTCAATAGATTTAACAAGTTCATTAGGCAATCCGAGAACGCTAAAATATAATTAATTTTATTGTCTGGCAGTGTAAAGTTTATCGGAACCATATATTTAATAAAAGCAATGTTCGAAGTTATTTACCTTCCTTTTCCTTCCAAAATGGCTTGATAATTACTTTTATTTTCTAAACCAAAAGATTTTAAGCTGTGGGACGCAAAATTTTTAGCCTCTAAAAGAAATAATTAAAAAGCAAAAAAAAATTCCATAAAAATGTATTGTTACCAATTTTTCTATTGTTTGTTATTAAAGCTGTATTACTAGGAAGGATCTGCCTGGGAGCGCTATTATTTGATCCGTTAATTTTGACATATCGCAGAACGACGTGTTTGACTGACTTAAAATGGGAGGAGCAAAAAGTGTTTCTTTATTATAAATTATTTCTTTTATATTAGGAACATGCTTCAGATAGACTTTCGAAGTTGTATTTTCAATTCTAGTCTTTTTAGGGGCCCCTCTCTTGGCTAACTTGTTCTTACTAAGGCCAATATCTTTGATATTTTCTAAGTCAGCTGAACTTAAAGAGTATCTAGTAGACCACTCTTCCGCATCAAATTTCCTTTTGTCGGAGCTGCTGCCTTCAGGATCACTGTTTTGATAAAGAGGAAATGTAGTGAGAGGATCCGTAAATAACAAATCGTAGATGTGCAAAGCATCCTCGCTTGAGTTATTCAGGCTCTCAATATTGTTATTTAAGTTAACCTCTACAAAATTATTACTTTCTCCATTTCTTTTTTTAACAAAGTTACTGCTGTTTTTATTACTTCTAATATTGCCAGTAATATCACTTGAATCCATTAAAAACAAAATATTTATGTTAGAAGTATTCCAAAACTCGTTCCCCCGTTATATGTAATTTAACGCTAACTATGTCAAATCCTATCAGTGTTAGACTTTGTTAAACTTTGAATATTTAAATTGAAGCAATAAGTAAATTAACAGAGACTAACTACTGATTCTAATCAGCGAAACAAATATGAAAATTTTTTTGTTAAAATGTTTCAAGTTCTAGGTCAATAATAGGTTAAACAAAATTGTTAATCGACAATTACTTATTATAATATATCAAGAAAGGCCCAATATAATGCTCAAAATTCAAATTATATATGGTATTAGAAAAAAATATTGTATTAAATATATAATAAACTTAAAAATTTATTTATAACATTATATGCTATAACTGATATAAATTAAAACTGTATTATAAATAATTGTTAAAAACAGAGACTAAGCTCTACTTTAATCTGTGACTGATTGTTAAAAAAAGTATCACCAAATGTATCACGAGGCAAAAGGAAAATGAACGACGTCAAAATAATATCGTGAAAGTCACGCTTCACTAAATAAACGCTGAATCTGTGCGTCTCTTCAGGTTTTTAACCAATTAGTAACACAACCATACGAAAAAAAAGCTATTGTTCTTACCAAGAAACCTCTTTTTTATTGGCTCCAACTTTACCAATGATGAAATAGACATTATAATAAATCTCTTGCGTTTAACCAGTTTAACGTAGCTAACACTCGTTTTTTTCATGCAAATTGTAGCAGCAGAACCACTAACCTTTTATACATTTTATTAGTTTAATATATATATCTCTTTTTATATAACCAATATATGCCTTACATGTCTTAATACAGATGGCTGAGGTTGACTGACCTTAAGAACACACGCAGCGGAAAAGCACGTGGGATGCACAACCCCGACCGTTCGGGTCGTTTTGTTCTTTGACGAGCTTCAAATACTATAAACAAAATTAGGTTGTGGGGTGTGAGGGAGCTAGAGTCTTAAAAAATACTAATAAGTTTTAAAAAGGAATTAATTTAATTACTTGAGATATCCGTTAGTAAATTTAATTTATTATCTGTTATAACTAAAACAGTGAAAAACATATTTAAAAAAAAAAAAGCAATAGGAATCTAGGTTAAATTAACAAAACGATGCTGGTTCATTAGGAAAAAACAAAATAGCGTAAAAAAGGTATGCGGTTTTTAAGTCAAATCGAGTAATCTCCTGAGGTTTTGTTAAGGAGAGACATGACAATTTTTATTAATGGTATAACTTTTTAGTAAACTCATAAAAGTCCATTTAAAAACTTTTAAACTAAATAAAGTCCTCTAAATATTACATCTTTATAATTTGACCTGTAAAAATAATGACTACAGATCAGAAGATTAGGCCTTATTCCGTGCTGTGCTCAGCCTGCCTTTAATTTGTGAAGATCAAAAGTTTTTTTGCAGTAACAAATTCTATTTTTTTTAAAGTTTCAAAGCTTATTTTAGAGATTTTATTCAAATAGTGGATAAATTTTTCAATTAATGAAACACGCTGTTCCAATAAGCACTACTTTTTTTTATTAAAAGTAGTTTATAAATATATGTTTAGAAAAACTTATTTCTGTGCTAAGGCTCTCCTATATTTATTTAGATACTCGCTACTTAAAGTGTAGTTTGTAACAACCAATAATAAAATCAAAAGTAAAACTTTGTTTCACATATTTTCTCGCCTAGAGGAGCTAAACTTCAAGAAAACCCAGCGCCACTGATAATAACAATATGCTGAACAATTTGTGCTACCATGCAATATTACTGAGTAATTTTGTTTTCTCCAATTATTTGTTTTTCGTATTAAAAACGGTTGGTCAATTCCTTTTTTTTTTTTTAAAAAAGGAGATTGTATTTTACTGCATAAATCTAGATCTCACTAAATTTTATGTGGTTTTTTATACTAATTAAAATCTAATTTTGCCCAGTTATTAACAAAGTTATTTTAAACCTTTTAAGTGTGGGGTAGAATTAAAGACTAAGCAAAAGACGAAATAAGGCTACTCATATTTAAGAGCACTTTTTAATAACTGTTTTAATAAGAATGGACAACTGTGTAGCATAACAGTTGTTTTACTCACTAGTTTCAGCTAAGAGTGCAACAGTTTGAAGTTTTAAAAGCCTACACGATGCTTAAATGTTAATATGCCTGTAAAACATTACTGGTCGTTATCTTATGAAAACTAACGAGCTTTAAACCACTTTATAAAACTATTTAGATAGTGTGGTAGACCTCAAGTTAGCCACTTTAACAATGAGAAAGGGCTTGATCTTCTTCGCTTTGTACCTTCTTATAAGAGCAGAAGCTTATTTGTTTAGCTCGTGGTTACTGTAAATAAAATTTTTGTAGACTGAACTGGCAGCTATGCCGGTGGGCGTTCCCCAGAATATCAAGTTTGTGCTCTGAGCGGTTAACACGTAAAGAGCGGGTATATTTTCCACAGCATAAGCTAAGAGGCGGGAGTCTGGGGCAGGTTGCTTTTTACAAAACGAAAATCTGTCTTTCTCAGGAACACTGGTAAGCGTTACATAGTTAAACCCCTCGCAACAAGAGGAATATAATAATAAAAATAAATATAGGAAATATTTTTAAGTCTTTCGCCCCTGAATCCCTCCCCTCCTCCCCATTAATATATATTATTGCAAATACTTATTTAATATAAACCTATTATTAATCAAAAAAACACTTTTCAGTAATTAATTCTTAACTTATTCATAAACGAACTGCTTTCTGTCAGGATATGAAACCTGTAGTAAGTATAACATGAAGACGAGAACCACCAAAAAATTAGTGATATTATATTAGTTGGCTAGTGATAGCTTTACTTTTAAGAACACTCTATATATAGTACCATCTTTTATTTATAAAGAGCACTTCAATAAGTTTATTACCTGTTACATCGCTAATTGGGTAACAATAAAATGATAGAATTAGCAGGACCGCCTATCTTTTTGCTTACGGCGCTTTACATTTAAGTGGAGCTGTTTGAAAGAAGGAAATTTATTAAGCTAGACACATTGTAGATCATTTAATAATTGAAGTTTTATTATTAAATTTTTTATTCAATATAAAGCATTTAAATTAAATAACCTATCTATTGACATTTTAATATATAAACTTGCTTTACATAATTAAAACCGAATTCCATCAAGTCAGGTCTAAACAAATGTTTCTAAAATGTTTTATATGTAAAGCTTTATTGACAAGGGAGCCTAAAGAAAACTTTCTTTACTCTCTTTATTATTTAAAACAAATTTTTACCTTTTTTGTTTGTCTTATCATTTATTCTTTTCTAATAGTCTACTAATTATATAATTTATTCATCAGTTTATTTAAATTCGAATATTATTCTTTGTCCCAAAAGATCTTGATAAACCTTTTAAAGTTCACGAGCCATCTAAACTTTTCAAAAATACGTGTTAACGATAGAAGTCCCGTACACAAAGGGCCAAACCAAAGTATCTTAGCTTATTTATTTAAAATAAGGCTTGACTTACCTTTAAGCTTTTCTGTAGTTTTAAAGTCTAGACTACAGTCAGATAACTTTGCTACACGTCTCCTTTTTAATAACTCATCGATTGTAATGTTTATGATATACTGCCAAGTTATGACTTTTACGTGCTCAGATCATAGAAGCCTTTACATAAAATTAACTTTAAACCAAATAAAGGAAAGTTATTTAGGAAAAGAAATCACTGTTTCTATTAATATATGTTTTGCATACATACATTAACTAAAGATGAAAAGCAAATGCTTCACACTGTCAACAGTATAATTCACAATACCTTAATATTTACAGTTAAAACGTCTTAAAAAATTAAAAAGTTTACTTAAAAATTTTTTAAGACCTGAAGCAAAAGAAAATGCTCAATCACGTACGGCAGCTGTTAAAAAGTAAAATTTGTGATCTATTTTTAAGGCTGTTCTTTAGTTTTACTAATATATAACTTATATTTTTACACTTAAATATACTATTTGAATTTGTATTCTTCAATTGCAAGATACTTTAAAAGTAGTCTATCACAATGATTTTTCTAGTTATGAATATAAAGTTATCCTTGAACAATGATGTAGTTTTACTATCAGTGTTAGGAAAAATGCCGAATTCTTTGTTACCTCTGTCGTATAATAAAGTTCATTCTTTGATAAGAACTAAAATAAAAACCAGACTTCCTTCCTCGCTTATAATGTAGCGTTTTTCTTTCAGAAAGGTACTGGCGTTTTAAAAAAAAGCAGGAAAATAAAAAAAGGTTGGCAAGAAGCCCCGTGCGCTATCTTTCTTTCCATCTCACTTGTGTGTATTTTGGGTTGAATAATTAGCGTTTCATTTTCTTTCAGGTTGCTTTCTTTTTTAATTTGATACTTTCTTCTATCTGGTTTATCAAACGTCATTTAAAATGTTTAATAGTATTGATTAGTTTAAAAATAATTAAAAATTGCTCACATTATTATTCATGCTTTGCTTTTTTTCTACACTTAGTTGTCAATACTTAAGTTACGACCGGGTGTATAAAAATGAGCGCTGAACAATCCACCGGCAAATATCCCCTTTTAAATACTATTACTATTAAAGGACGAAGAAATGTATACCTTTTAATCTTTTTTTATAACGTCTTATCAATGAATTTTGTTTAGGTTGTTTTGGCTGTACTTGGTTTTTACGCTGGCCTTTTTGGTTTTATCAAATACTCTCGATCCTCCAAGTCTGAAAAACTAGAAAAAAATGTTTAGTTATTAATCTTCATGTGATTCCTCTTTTTAATAAACATTTATTTTGTACACTTTCTTTGGGTAAATACCTATAATAGCGTTTTCTTTACAACTCTAATAAGTAATAGAGGATGTGGATGCTGTTTAAATATTTTATTTAGCAATTTTGTTTTTAAATTTATTTCTCTAGTAGCGAGAAGATTCCACCTTTAAACTGAACTGTCTTTGCAAATATTCTACGTAATAGAAAAAGTCTTCTTATGCCCCTTTTTATTTCAACTAAAAATATAACAGAAACTATTAAAATTTTAGTATACTTTATAAGTTTATAATATATTTTAATAAAAAGTAACTTCTGTTTAATGTAGTGAAATAGCTGAAAATAATAGAATTTACTATATTTTCGACACCTAAGACTTAAGACTTTGGCATTTCCGCGAGTCAGATATGAATTTGTGTAACACCATTCTCGAATGCTATTTTTGTCTAGTTGCAGCTTACAATAGTAAAAATTATTGAATAGTAATTTAAATAAAAAAGTAGCAAAAGCAAAGTTTTCTTAATACAACAATTTCATTTTTTAAACCAAAATTAAATTCAAAAAGGTTTCGCTTTATAAGTAAAAAAAATCAATTAAATATTACCTTATCAAAGTTTCATGGCGATAAAAAAGTATGCCGGAAAAAACGGCTACAAAGAAAGTAATAAACAACATAATTATAAATAGGTAAAAAAAAAAAGTGAATAGACAAGTTTATAGATAATCAAAGAACTAACTTTCTTTTGAGAGCTTACTAACAACTTCATACATTTTTAAAATAAACTATCAATTTTGAATGCTTTATTATAAAAAAATTAATTAAGAATTTATAAACTAGTTTTTCTTTATTAATTTTCATAACCTTTTGTTTTCTATTTGTTCTACAGAAAAAAAAATTAAAATAAATTTATTAACATTTCTCTATTTTCAAATACATACATAGAAATCACTCTTACACTGTATCTTGATTACTTAACATTACATTATAAATTTATTAATTCTTTTTTTATATTCTCACAACCTTTTGTTCTATTATTTGTTTTATATTAAATTATTATTTACTTTATACAAATTTTTTATTATTTAAAAAACAATAGTCTTTATGACGTTTACTTAAATTTTATATTAATTTAATTATTTTTATTTTTCTTTGATATTTCTAGCGTGAGGACGACTAACGCAGCTTTCCTTCATTCCTTTTTAAAACTTTGCGTTCAAGTTATTTTTCTCCAACATAAACGACGAAGAAAAGGGAAAAAGGAGGGTATTTATACCTTCAGGAAAGTAACACAAAAGGTAGGCCAGGAATAAAGCGTGTGGTATAATACCGCGTCACCACGTGGTAAGATCACGAGAGTTATTAAGGTTAGCTCCAACCGTTATAAAGCAGCCAGAAGAGCTTTTGTTTTACAGCTCGTGTATGTTTGTCATAAAACTTTTATTCATTTTGGAATTTATAAAAATATCTCTATTAGATCTTTTTCGTAACCAACTCGTTTGCAAATTTTATTAGTATTTATAATTCCCACAAAAAAAACTCTGGTTTTTGGTGTGTTTTTTCATTAAAAATACTCATTTTTTAATATATCCGCATAAGTTATAGTTTATAATATTTTGAAAATAATCCCACAGATATTTAAAAATATGATATAATTTTAGTGTTTATTAATACTTTTCTAAACACAAGTAGAAATTTTATATTCTTTAATCTCATTTTTAATTACTAAAAAATTTCTCTGCCCTCAAAGTAAAATTTCTTATTTTCATATCTCCTTTCGGTCGATCCACTTTTCTTTGTCTTTTACAAAAGATTCAAGCGAAATGCCAGCAAAAGCGATTAATACAGAAACAATTTGAGCGTAGTTGATTGGATGGGAAAAACTTTTTTAAAAAAATTAATATTAATTTTTTTTGCTTATTGTTTTTTTTATTTTTTATTAATTATTTTTACTTTTTATTACTTCTTAAAATTTTAAAAACAACATTTAAATAATTTTAAATAAAAATATTAATATCAAAAATATCAACAACAAATAATAATTATAAAATTTAGAATAATTTTTTTAAAATAAAATTTAAAATAAAAAAGTTTAATAAAATTATATATAAATAATAAATAATGAACTTTTTCACTCTAAAAAAAATTTAAAAATTAAAATTTTCTAGGAAATGAAAAAAAAAATTAAAAAGTTATTAACTTTTAATAATTATAAACTGCTTTACTCGAAAATTTTAAAATTCTCGATTTTGAAAAAAATTAATAAATAAAATGTTTTGTTTCTTTTTTTAATAAAAGTAGAAAAAAAAATTTAAGCGAGCAAAATTTGAAATTATCAATAATTTCTACTTCATTCTATAAATCTTATTAAGAAAATATTTAACAATTATTTATAAAAATTTTAATTTTTTTATCAATAATTAAAAATATTAAGAAAAATAATAAAATGTATAAAATTATAATAAAAAAAACTTTTTAATAACAATTTGCATAAAAAAAGTTTAAATAAAAAAATTAAAGTTTTTAAATATAATAAACTTTTTTTTATTAACTTTATTATTTTCCTGTATTAAAGATTTTACAAAAAAGTTTATTTTTTAAAATATTTTACTTTTTATCTTTATTTGTACAATATATTTATAACTTATTATTATTTTTTATTCACTTTAATAATATATATAAAGAAAATTAGAAAAAAGTTTCATATTTTTTTCTTAACTACGATAATATTATTATTATATTCACTATAAGAAAATATTATAATAAAAAGCTTATATATATTTACTTGATTTACTGTTTATTACTTTATTATTATAATTTTATATTCTCCTATAGTTTTGTTTACTTTTTATTATTTTATTAATACAAAAAAAAATAAATAATAATAAAAATAATAATATTTCTGTAACTATAAAAGTTTAACAATTCAATTATTATCAATAACATATTATTTTATGATATTATTATCAAGTTTTTATATTTTATAAATATTTATTAAAAAGTTTTTTTTAATAGTAAAAAATGATAATAAAACTTATTTATTAATTTTTTATTATTACACCAAACAGAAAATAGTAAACATATAAAATACGCACACAACATACAATTATAATATAGATATTTTCTATAATAGGAAGTAAAAAGTGTTCTTAAGAGTAAAATGTATAGCAAATAATTTTAATACTAAAAAAACGAATTATAAATTTCATAACACTAAAAAATTTAATATTTTTTAGTGTTATGAAATTTTAAGCTTTAAGAAAAAACCTCATATAAAAGGTTTTATTACAAGAACAAATTTTATAACAATAAAATGTACGTTTTAAAAACACTTTTACTAAAAAAAATTTACATAATAATAATAATAAAATAATGTAAAGCTACCAGATGCAGGAAACCACAATAGTAAAAAGTTTTCTGGTAACCGTAACAGAAACTAGAGCCAAACTACCAAAATGTTGCATCATCCCAAATATAAATATTTGCCCTGAAAAAGTTATTAATCATTATTATTTATTTTTTATATTTATTGCTTACAATTATAATGATTTGTTTTTACTATTCAACCATATCACCATAATTCTATGATTTATTAGATATTATTGCTATTAATTTATTATTTACTACCTAGTACTTACAATTTATTTATTATTCATTATTCTTTAATATTATTATTGCTATAATCAAAGGTTTAACAAATCATAACCGCGAGTAAAGTAAACCAATCAATTTTTTATAATAAAACAAGCGCACCAACGGAAAGGCGCACCTAATGAACCGCAAAGGCAGAATAAGAAGATGTCAATGATAGCAGAAGGATGCCGGCGCATGAAAAAAAGTCCAGCAGAAAGCTCGGTTTGGTGAAACACAGGAACAAGCAAATAAAGAAGCATTAAGAGTGTCGAAAAAAAGTTCTAAAGTTGAATAAATAATAATAAGAAGAATAACAACAATAACAATAAAGCGCGGTAAAATAGTTAATAAAACGTATAGAGGTTTCACGGCAAACCACGTGAGTGCATGGTCACGTGGTTTGCTGCTTCTTCTAATGAATGCCGTTGGTTTTGTCAGATATGTTTCGCCCACGAGCGAATAGTGTCACGTGGCTAATCTCGTTTAGAAAGGAGCATGTGGCATCACTCTTAAGTGCACGCGGAGCCATGCGGCTCTCTGCGGCGCATACATAATATAAAATGAAGCGAAAACAAATTTATTTTCTTTTAAAAAATTACATCTCCGTAAAATTCAGCCAAAAAAAATTGATTTTAATGGCGAACGGCTCTGAGATTTCATTGTTGTAACCAATAAGTTTAAAAAAGGCAACTGCCCACGTGCATGCTTTAAAAAGCTAACAAAATGACATAAATAGAACATTTTTAAACTTTCAGGACCAAAAAAATTATGCTGCACCGTCATTGAAACATCCAATAAATTTACAAAACTAAATTTATTTTTTACGTTGGAAATTTATTAATAAAATTATAAATTATTTGTAAATTATTAATAAATAATTTATATAATAAACTTATAAACTAAAAAAAGTTGCAAACTAATAAATATAAATTTTTTAACAAAACAATAAAAAAATTTTAAATTAATTAATAATAAAAAGTAGAAAAAACTTATAGAAATAAAAAAAAAGATAAGATAATTCGAAATTCTCAACAAATACTTGGAAAAATTATGACTTATAATTGAGAAGATTAAACAAATAATAAAGAATTCATAAATCCAAAGAAATTAGGTTCAAAAAAAATTATAAAAAGTGATGCAAAGAATAATTAAAAAAATTTTTTTTTAGGATAATAATTAAATTATTACAAATTTTAACCCTAAAAAGTTTTTAAAATTTACTATAATAAGTATAGTGAAAGGAACCAATCTTAAACACTAAGTTTAAATAAAATTTACTTTTATAAGTATAATTCTAGTAAATTAAAATTCTAAAAAGTTTATAAAATTTATTTTAAACTAAAATGAAAGAATGAAACTTTAGCAATAAAAAGTTTATTTAATAATGCAAAGAAAAAGTTACAAAATTTATTTATCACAATTTTATTATAATTATGTACTAACAATCTTTTTCATAATTCAAAAAATATATAATTATTAATTTATAAATAAAGTAAAGTAAAAGTATATAAACTTTAACAAATAAAGTATTCTATAAAAAGGAAACATTAAAAATTTATATTTATAAACACTAAATTAAATTAGAACATAAATTCTTTACTTTTATATAATTAATAAAAAAATTTAAGCATTTTTTATTTTATTTTTTTGTTAACAAATAGAAATTAAAATTATTAAATAAAAAAAGGTCAAATAATAATTAATTGGAAATGAATTATTATTTATTTCAAAATTTTTATATTAATAAAAAATATAAAAATACTTGTAAAAAAAAAGTTAATAAAAATTAAATGAAAATATTTCAAAATTATTATAAATTTTTATAAAAATCAAAAAATTTAAAATTGTTTAACAAAAATATAAATAGTTACATGACAAAAAACATTTGAATTTATTTGAAAAGTAAAATATAATTAAATACAAAAGCACTTTAAAAAAGTTTAAATATAAATAATTGAAAATAACTTTACTAATTCAAAATTTAAAAAAGAAAAAAATCCAAAATTACTTCCAAATATTTAAATAATAATAAAATGAAAATAACTTTATATAATTTTTTGAATTTTTGTATGAAATTAAAATTTTAAATTATTTATAAAAAGTTTACATAATAATTAAATAAATATAAATTAAAATTTATTTGAAAATCCTAATAAAAATATAAGAAAATACAAAATTATTAACATATATTTGAAAATTAAATTTTTATGATAATAACTAAATTAAAAAATTAGTTACAAAAACAATAAAAAAAAGTTTTATGTAATGCAGTAAACAGTAAAATTATAAAATCCTTATTAAAAAAATCAATAATTATTTTATAATTATAATTAGGTTATAAAATCTTTATAATAAAAAATAAATAAATAATTCCAAAGTGATAAAATTAGAATATCTTTAATAATAAAAATTCCAAAATTATAAATTTACTTAATGAAAACTTTCAAGTTATAATTTAAAATAAACGAACTGTGTGAAGCAAGAAAACTAAATTACTATTTAATAGTTGGTATAATGAAACCATGATAAATTTCAAAAGTTATTTCTTTAATTATAATTATAATTTTCCTCCCGAAAAAAGTTTAAATAATAAAGCGCAGTAAAAAAATTTAATAATTATTTTTCTAATAAATTATTCAGTTTAAAAAAAAAATAAAAAAACAAATTGGATGGCCAATCATAGAAACTTTACCAATGAAATTTTCAAATTCAATATACTAGAAACTTAAAATTTATTTTAGTTATAACTAAATTATAATAAAAAATAAAATACTTAAAAAGAAATTTACAAAATAAATTTTTTTAAAGAAAAAGATAAGCTGGCCAACCATATAAAGCATCATCGCCCAGCTGCTAAGCTTGTACTGCTTAAAAATATGATCTTGAGTAGAATTGGTTAAGCCATCCAGAAACAAATTCACCAAAACCAACATAATGCCATACAAACTTGACGATGAAGCGGCTATAAAAATTAAAATTAGTAAACCTTAAAAAATTAGAAATCTATTATAATTGTAAAAAAAAAAAAAAAAAAATTCAAAATATAAAACTTTTTAAATGATAAAATTTCGCCAAAAATAAAAAATTATGTGACGGTATGAAAAATTCTATTAATAAAATACTTATTTAGTAAATAAATTAAATTAATGATTAATCTTAACAATTTCGTAACTCGTAACAAAAATAAACACCATGTATCGTTTTTATAAAAGAATCTAAAGTTTTTTGATAAAGAATTTAAAACTAACCATACTTAACAAAATTAAACTATAGACCGAAAGTAGCTTTAATAAAAATGATAAATTATAATTATTCTGAAATGGAATATACTTTTAAGATTAATTAAGTAAATCAATATGAAATTACTATTTTTATTAAACATTTATTAGCTTCAATAATAATAACTTATTTTTAATTTGAGTTGGCAATTAAATAAAAAATTAGATTAGTTAACTTTAATAAGATTAAATAAGAAAATTATTAAGCAATATAAATAATTAAAATAAAAATTTTAAAGAGAACAAACATAATTATTCCGTATAAATTAGTTAAATTTGCATAAGCGACTTATTAAATTAAAAAATATGTTTATATAAATTCTATAATTTGATTCAAAAAATTTTAATATAAGGAAAACGTGCTCTGCTTCTATAAAACTTTTACAAAATTGTTAACACAATTATCATAGAAAAATGATTTAAATAAATTAAGAGACCATATTAACTTGAGGAAATTATATGAAGTTAATATCATCCAATAGCTAAAGAAGTATAATTGATAATAAATTGTTTGAACGATGTTTAAAATTTCATTAAAGATTAATTTGAAATTAACAAAAATTAATATAACATTTTTCCCAAAAAAATATAATAACCAAAGTAAATTATTATATAAATGAATTATAATTAAATTTTAAAGATACATTTTTTGTCTGTGGTTGAAGCAACGGTAAAGCAAGCAACGCCTAAAGTTATTAAACCAACACTGACGTATTTGTACCAGCGAAAACTTTTCCGGTAAATCAAAGTTCCTTTGTATAAAAATATTTATAATAAGTTAAATTGAAAAGTTAGAGCACTGTTAAAAAGCTGCAAACCAATATGGAATAGTAATACAACCATAAAGTTAGCTTTACACCTCGTTTAATAATTAATATAACATATACTGTTCGTCCTAATAATAGAACTTCAAAGAAACTACTATATTTTATATACAATGGAAATTTATTCAACTTTTAAAACTAAATCTAAGAACTGAAAAAAATAACAAAAATGTGTTTACCTGTCAAAATGACAGGAATTAATTTACAAGACTTAGCCAAAACAAAAGTAGGATAGTTAATATGTGCAAGAGCGTGATAACCAAAAGGAGAGGCGAAAGTATTCGATAAGGAAACCTTAAAAAAGCGCGTATTATAATTAATAAGTTATAAAAAAAAATAAAAACCTGAATAAGGCGTAAATTTAACCACTTCGAAGGTTTAGTAAAAGGAATTTTAAGCAGAGACATGAAAAGAAAAGCTACAACGGTTGCAACAAGGGATTGAAACAAATTGAGTAACACAAAGAACTTAAATTTTTCACCTAATAAAATATTTTTAAATTTTTTATAAAAACAAGCTTTGTGCAGTTCTTAGCACAACGTATAAAATTAAGTAAGTTCTAAAAATTTTGTTATTTATTATAGTAAAGGGTGTTAGATACTTTAAAAGTTATGGATACCCTCATAACTGACGCTGGTAACTTTTTCTTGCAATACAGCCCAAATTATAAAGGAAGCATAAATCCCTGACACAAAGCAAGCAAGCCTTAAATAAGCCATATTCCATGTAAAATCTTCACTGAGGAAACTGAGAGTAACAGTGAATTTTTTTCAGGCGTAGTTTGCTCAAATACTCAGTCCAATTGGACACTACATAAACTCAATTACTCACGGGCTTGGTTTTTGTTACGAGCCCATTTATTACTATTATTTTGTAATTTCATGTATAAAAAGGCTACCTTACTTCAAAGTTTTGAATCTTGTAAAAAATATCTAGAGAAGTAGCTATTTTTAAAACTTAAAAAAAAGCACTTTTATTTGTAAATTCGAGGTCTTGATTTTTTTTACAGTTTCTTTACCGGTTTGACAATTTCTTTTAGTTTATATATAAAACATGCATAACTTCTTTAAAAATTTTTAAACAACACTAAAGTGGTTTTGGTGTTTTATAATTTTTTTAATTAAATGATACAAACTAAAAGAGTACTTCTATTTTTGTTAAAGCTATAAAAATAGTTCCCTATTTATTTTATAAAATTATATTAGAGACGATCATTTCCAGTGTGGTAAATAGCTTTCAACCTTAAGTTATGGAATGATACTTAAATTTATAAATATTATTTGACCTTAGGCCTTCAAGTTAAGTTTGTTGAAAACCTTTCCTAATGTTAATAAGTTCAATTTATGAGGCACTCCTTTTTAAACTTGTGTAATTGGAAATTAATACCTATATACAAAGAGGAGAACAATGAGAGCCTGTGTAATTATAACTTTTCAGATGCAAAACTTTCACCTCTGATTAACTTTTTAACTATATAAATAGAACACCGATAAAATTATAAAAAAGTTGAGGGAATAAATTATAACCTAAAACTATAAAAAAGGTTATTAAAAAGGCTTTTAATTATAGAATATCTTTATAAACATATCGATGGGGGGGGGGGGCTTCGTGTTGGCATGGCATCAAAAAGTTTAGATAGACGCATAATCCTTAATGTTATCGCAGACATACTAGACATATTTCCTTTTACTAACTTATAAATCATAAAGAATTTTTAAAATCAAAGCATTTAAATATATTTTTATTATATTTGCTTGTGTTAATCTACTGCCCTGTACTAAGGTAATAGCGTGCCTAAAGAATAAGCTGTGTTAGGAGCGAAAAGTAGTTGACATATATACTAGCCTTGGATAAGTATTTATTCAAGGCGCCAATTTAGAAGATTTTAATACACATTTGAAGTCCTTAAATTCATTAAAGTTTGGTCCTTTATAATTAGTGGGGAGTGGTTATCACCAATTTAATAGCTTTCTTTTTTCAAATTGGAGGTAAAAATTATTCTAAGCTCTCTCAGAACCCTTTATCTTTTTTTTGTATTATCCTCCGCTAAATTTTTGTAGCTGCCAAGGCAGTAAAAACCCGTAATATTTCACTTGAATACAAAAAGGAAATTTCTCACCATTTTCGAATTATGGTTTTAATAGACTTCTACTCCTCTGCTGCGTTCACAGTGGTGTTTTATAAACAATACCAGCCAGCAAATGCGTGAAGGCAAAAAAAAAAGGTGGAATAAGCGAAAAGTTTTTATAGAGCACGGTACGTGCAAACTACGGGCAGTTTAGAAATAATTTATTTAAATAACTTTACACAAATTGGAAAGGCGCTTAAGTATTCAGTAAAACACCTCTACATAATGTGCAGAAAAAGTTATTAAGACATACCTGTGTTAAAATTATGAATACCCTTTTAAAATAGGAATTTAAAACAGTTTGATAAAAAGAAAAGTGTTATCAAACAATGAGTCACAAACGTGATAAAGTTAAGCTTTCTTTAGATTTGCCTTATAACTAAAACTTAAAAAGAAAATACACTGATCCCCTAAAAAAAAAGCCAGACTAAGCACGAGACGGGGTAAAGTTACAAAGAGAGTAAGGCTTTAAGGCTTTACCTCTTAATCGCTTTTAGTATAGTTTTATCCACAAAAAAGAATTTTATCAATAAACAGTTGCATAAGCGACGCAGTAGGTTGATATAGCATAGTATACTTAACTATTTATACTACTCGGTAACAATACTATTTTAAAATTTAGTTATTTTTAAAGCATATGCTAAGATTAATTGGTAGGCCTTTTATTTACTTTCGAAAGAAAGGTTCGTCTAGTTATTGAATCTAAGAAGTAATAATCTCCTTTGAATGCAATATTTAGCTTTTTAAAACTACTCCTTAACTTACTACTTTTTTTAGGTTGTTAGCTAAACATTTATTAATTATATTAACTTAATTATTACAACTTGAAATTTTTTACGTCACGAGTCTTCAAGGATAACAGAGACTCGAAACCACTTTCTTAAAGAATTAAAGCAAAGAATTTCCCTTTCGTCCTAATAGTTTATAGTATATAAAATTAAAATTAACAAAAGGTTACTAACGTATATTATAGCTACTACGTAATGTCATAATCTGAATACTAGGACATAATAATAGATTGTTACGTTAAGTTTTATACAGTTCCAAAGTAAAGGAAATCGAAGCATCGTTATAAATTGTAAATAATTACCTAGTCTCAGCAAGTACAAATTTTAAAGTTAATGTACACACGGTTCTTTGTTTAAGGTTGATTAACTTTTTTAAATATAAACTGAAACAATTATGTGATGTTAATTTTTTTTGCTAATCTAGCTTCATTTCCCCTCATATGTTAGTAAACTTTAAGTTAAATATAACATCGCGCTTAAACAAAATACTACTGATTAAACAAGCTATAAATTTCCGATAACCAGTTAAAAATAATTTACTTCTTACTAATCTACGTTCTTTTAGTAAACTGTTATAATATTGTGGATTGACCTTAATTAAACAAAATTTTTCTTTTATAAATTTCTTTTTTTTTTAAAATAATATTTAACCAAAAAAGCTGAAGACGTGCGTTTGTGTTTTCTACTACCAACGCACTTATGTCAACCATAATGTAATATAATAATATCAAAAATTATTTTTAAGAAAGCTTATCTCTGAAATGTACGCGGTTTGATGTTATTATTAGTTTTACTATTAAAGTACTTACTTGCGGAAGAAAATTGCGATTTTTAAATTAATTCCTTTCAACTTTAGTACTAAAGTTTAAACGCGTTTTCTTAATTTTTAACGCAATAGTTACTTATTATTTTAGGCGGTAATTACTAATTTTACTTCACAAATTTAAAAGATGTCCGCAAAACTGTTTCATTATTTTAAACTTTCAATATCCATTACAAAAAAAATAACCTTAACGGCTTCAATAAATTCGTCCAATAGGATAACTTGTTCGTGTATGGGGCCCAGAAGTTGGGTTTCCAAAAGTTCCGAGCGCATTACGCCAAGTAAAAGCCCTTAAAAAAAGGAAAAATTAATAATAATAAAAAAACTCATTATACTTATTTAAGTTATTTTTTATTATTCATATATTATTGTTTAAAAAAGATATTTGATTGATTGCTAATCGAGTCGAATTTTAAAACTTTAAAAAGTTAACAACCTGTTTTCATTCCATCTTGATTTCAAAAAAAAAACGCGCAAGTAAAAAATGAAATTCATGTACTGTCTTTTGTAGACTATTTTAGACAATCTAATTCAAATTACCTCCCTCTAATTATTGTGGGTAATGAAATAACTCGACACTTTCATATGTACAATTTACTTGTAAAATAGAGAAGAATAAACGGCGAAAAGTTTGTTGTATATAAAAAGGTCTTACTTTTAGTTCACCTCACAATCTATGCAGCTCAGATGATTAGGATAAAAGAATATAGTGTACGCCATTACCACATTTTAAGGGAAAACTATTATACTTTGTAGAATCTCGGCGGCTTTAAGTTTTCCGTAACAAATATTCTTTAGCCTAAAAGGAACACCCCTCGTATAATTATAAGTACTATACTGCTAATTTTAATAAGTAAAATGGTGCATTACTAAAGGAACTTATAAGTTCAACTTTATTAATAATTAACTCTTAAGAGGACAAAAAAGCAGTTGTGGTACTTCAAAAATACATAATAAAGATTTTTAGCAAATATAACATTTTTTTATTAAAAGCAATAACAGAAAGTAGTAGAGAAACCTTGAGTGCAGTTGAAAGTATAAAAATACTAAAACTTATACCGAAAGAAGCATAATACAATTAATTTTATTTGAAAAGCAAAAAATAAATAGTTGTAAAGTAGCTAGAAAAAAAATAACAAAACCAGAAATTTCTGGAGGAGTGAGCAAAATACCAGCAAACGAACGGATAGCAATGTTTGCACTGGTTGTTTCTGTGACTTCTCCTCTCTCATTATGCAAAATTACATCAAAAATACCCTTTTTTCCAACGCCTTTTCGAATAAAAAGTGTCAGTGACGTAAGTGTTGGTCAAACAGAACACAGGATGAGTAACAAGTTGAACAATGAAAAGCTTTAAAAATCTAGAACATCCTAATAATTAAAAAAATGCCAGTGCAGCAACGTTCGGTTTTTGTTTAGGCACTCAATGTAAATAAGAAACAATGACCATTTCTCTCACGCGCGTTTTCGTAAATTGTTCTCTTTGTCGTTTTGTGGCGTGAAATAATGTCTCTGCTGTTAATAATTTCTTGGTCAACCACAACTTTGGGAGGTTGATCTAAACAATGTTCCAAGGAAAAGTTATAATTTTCCAACTGAACTTCCCCGCTTTGTCCTAATAATAGTCGTACCTGTTTTAAAAAAGACTATGACAGTGCTGGAAAAGTTTATTGAGGCTGAAAAAATGAAATTAAGTTATCTACTAAAAATAATCAGTACTTACTACCATGTTAGATCTTTAAATTAAATATATATTATAAAATTGTGCAATTCTATTTCCAGGCTCTTTAAGTCAACATAAAACTTGCACGAATAATAAGTTTTTTTAATAAACGATAAGTTTAGGGTCAGATCTAAAGATATTTAGAAAAAAGCATCTTATAAATATATTTTAACTTCTTTTTAACCGTTGTAATGCATCCATTTCTTTACTATAACTTTCGTTTTACCACACAAAGAACAATTATTAATTTCAAACAGAAGTTTTGGCCTCTAGTTACATAAAAATCGTTTATAGTTGACCTTTTTTTTTTATTAATGCCTGATTGCTTGATCACGCAAATAATTTATATTATAAGGCTTGGACTGTAATCAGTTTCGGCAGTTCATCTCACAAGAAATAGTTGACTTTTTTAAAAATAATTTATATATTAAATGGTTCAAGCCTATAGAAACCGTACCAAAAATCTCACTATTCTGAAAATTCCGGGTATGCACTACCATAGCAATATTTATAAAAAAAATTCAAACCAGGCCAAAAAGTACCATTTAGTTTGGATACATAGTATAGATTAATAAAGCAAGAACTGAATTAGGACAAAGTTTTATCCGGTATAAGAAACAACGTCCCTGCAAGTACAAGACTTCGATAAGAAGTTCTTTATAATAACTTTTTGACTTGTATTTTTCAGAAAAAATAATGGTTATATACAACTTAATAAAAGTTAGACCACAATGTTAATATCGATAAACAATAAAAAAAAGAACAGTAATATTGATAACAATAAATAACTGATAAACTCTTGAATAGTAATAGTAAAATAAAACAAATATTTTAATTTTATTAACACCATAATTTAAAACAGTTTAAAGAGAAAAGCTTTATTGTTATAGCTCGCTACCAGTGGAGTACTATTTGCATTATAACGTTACATGCTTAACTTATTTACTTTTTTTAATGCTTCGGCGTCTTATACCTATAAATCATTTTTTTTGTGTGTTTGTCTCTATTGCGATCCTTAACAGAAAAGTAATTTGTCTTACCTAACTTTTCCATTAACCTTTCTACTTACTAACTTCAATTTACACTTAGAAAAATTTTATATAATCAACTTCCTTCCGGAAAAAATTAAACCTTACTTTTATTCTAAACCCATTATACACTTAAGATTAAAAATAATCAAAAACCTTAAAAAACAACAGAGACGTGTTTGCTTATAAGTTTTATTTAGAATAATAGCCCTAAAGATTCGCAATAACTAATATATTTCTATTAAACAAATAAAATATAAATTACTAAAAAAACACTCAGAATGTTAAAAATAAAACAATGTGTAAATTTTGCAACCTTCTGGCTGGTGTTCCAAGTTTGACTTCTTTCCTTCAAAAAATGTAGTAATAACTTTTTATTAAAATGCCCAAAAAAATGATAAGCAGAGTTTTCCAAGCGGTTTATATGTCGATCAAGCAGGTAAAAACCTAAAACATACAAATATTTGAGAAAATTTAAAGAACATTTTAAACCAGGGATTCCCTTAAAGTACGGCCTCTAAATTTTTTATCATACAAATTCAGTGCAGCACTTATTTAATATAATTTATAAAAATTGAAATAAACACCTCAGTAACAAATGTTATTTGCAATCACTTGTAACAAGAAAACTGAGACGGTAAACTTTAATTTACAAAATACTTATAGTGCACACAACTTCACTAGGAAAATTATAGCAGCAGCAACCAAATTGAATAAACAGCCCATTATAAATATAAAATTTTTATTTTATAAATCTTATCCTTACCAAGCAATTTTAAATTAACAACAGATTCCAAGTAAAAGTAATTAAAGACATTAAACCAAAAATAACCTTTATATTTTCTTGTAAAACCAATAATTTTACTTTCACCTTTTTAATTGTTTTAACATAATTTAAAAGTGACAAATAATCTATATAATATTTTTTTAAAAAAATTACTTACAAAATTTTATTATTATAATAATCTATAGCTTAAAATAATAAACAGACAGGAAGTTATATATATACAGAACTTTGTATTTAAGTTAAAATAGTAACTCCGAGCTCTTAAGGGAATAATGAAGGAAAAAAAGATAGACAAAAAATATTAATTTTTTAGTTAAAAAAAAAAAAATTAAACTAAAAGCCTTTAGACGTGAGAAACAATATAATAAAGAGAATTCTATCTTTACTTTGAACGCGGTCTTAGTATAACTTCTTTGTACTTTTTTGAAAAAAGGAAACAAGAAACAAATTTTAAAGTTTACACCTTGTACTAAAAAGCTGATATTTTTTTAAAAAAACCTGCCCCTGGTTCATAAAGCATTGTTTCAACTAAAATAACTTTTTCCTGCATATCATATAAGTAAAAGCGAGGCTTGATCTTTTAATATGATTTAACAATAATCATAGCAATGTTTAAAGTATTAATACTGTCGAGGAGACGCTATTCAGCCATTAACCGCACTAGGGTAGTATATTTGAAAAATGATTCCAAGTTCCTAGAACTTGCTAGATAACTAAAAATTTGGTTTACTTTCGAGTGTGTTTCTACAGAATTTCAATCGTAAGATAATGGCAAACTATCTTTAACATGCCCGTGTCGAAGTGGGCTGTGCATATTGAGTGAAGGAAGCGGCGCGGTAAATATAATACTAGTACCTATAGACTATATAGTAATAGCACTGAGTATAATAGTGCTAACAGCATGCATCAACGACCCATGCTAGCACAAGAAGTGCGCTATGCCGGGACACGATACATGCTACCGCAAAAAAGCAGGACTATTACAAGCTCAAACAAAAGGTACGATCAAGCCTGCATCCTCGGATCAAGGAATAGTCTATAGATAAGTATCGCTCATTATTCGGCAACTCCTTCCTCTGCTTTCGTCTTTGGTACTAACATGACAGAAGTTTAACCGAACAACTTAGCTACTTTTGTCAACAATTTAATAGTGAATCGATTGACCACGAATGCTCAACCTAGGCAAATTAGATTTAAAACTTGCTTCGATTTGCAATTCTAGTATTCAACGTGAGGCGGTTAAACAAGTAAACAGTCGATTCTGTTTGTGGGGTATTGCTTAACCATAAATTCTTTTCAAGAGCGGGCAATTCTCGTAACAATTACGTTAGCTAAACTGAGCACCCTTGAATTCAGGGAATTTAGCACCTGTCGAAGGACTTTACAAACGAACGCCTTTTTGTCAATATTAAGAGGAGTTGTTTTCAACCGAGCATCTCTAAATCACTTGTGACCAAGCTAGTTAACTATAGCTACCTGCGACTACCCTCGGTGTGTGACCACCTTGAGTCTAGAGCTCAACTAAGGTACCATGATCACAATCCTAGGTTGGTAAGTAGTCAGCAAAAGAGTCCAAGTATCAAATCGGATACTAGTCTTGTGTAACCTGAGTTTAATGTTTAATGTACATTTTCCGACTCAGCAGAGGGTCTGAAGGAGATTCGTTATCTGACACCATCGGATAGTAGAGGATAACATGACCCAAGCCAAGATGAACAGACGTTGAACACACAGTCCATCAGAGGATGACGACCTAATGAGCGCCGTAGATCGAAACCATCCGGAACTCACAAAGACTAAGGCGTTTGTTAGCACGAATTTGTATATATAGGCTTGTCTGTTACAAGCACTTGTACCGTTGACAGCCTAGGGTCAAAAGGCAAACCTCGCTCCGTCAAAGAATGTACGATCTAGCACGAATGCTCACAAGGTTCGAGCAAACAGTCAAAGGTACCAAAATAGCACCAAAGACTACCGTTAAGTAGCTGACCTGCACAGTCGCCAAAGTTAACAACTATTATAAATTATGGACTTACATGCGGTGGTCAAAGCCCTAGACAGACTGCGTCACAAGCTCTTACGCCAGCCAAAAAATAGTCCGCGCACTAGAGAAAGTGCGCAGAGAGGCAAGTTATTAGCTTGCTCTCTATATACGAGGTTTTTAACTTCTTAAGAGTGTTAAAAATGACCTAATTTAGGTTTATTAAGTGCTTCTACCTAGTAAAATAAGATATACTGAAGATAAATCAAAGTCAATTAGTTTAGTTTAGGTAGATTCACTAAAAGATAAAATATATATAAATTATTTAATATATAAATTATTTTAGATACAAAATATATAGCTTTGTTAGAGGTAGTTTTAAATGTATAAAGACAAAGCTAAAGGATCTAACCTCAATGAAGTTCATAAAGTGACAAATCACTGTACAGATCTAAAGTAAGAGCATGTCCCGCATTAAGGTAAGATAACTAATATATAAAAGCAGCATGCAGGACACGCTCAATAACCAATATTAGTTCCCAGCGGTTATAGTACTTAAAGCTAAACCGAAGCGAAATAGTTTGTATGATACCTATTTGTGTATGCTTCATTATTAGCTATAAAGCTATTCATACGCTGCAAACTTATCGTACTTATCTTAGCTAAAATTTGCGCTTATGAATCCAGGGAAGTTAGCACCTGTCTAAGGACTTTATCTAAGTATCAGTTTTTGTCAATTAAGATGCTAACTAGTTTCTGCCTAATAGATTGAATAGTTTGTAAGTAGATTGTTTCACCTTGGTTTATAGCTACATAAAATATATAACTATATAATATATAAAATTATAATATATATATAACTATAAATACATAACTATAAATTATATAAAATAAATCATAACTTTGAGCTTCGGTGACAGGGTCGAAAGCGAATGATGTTCTAAACTTTAGTCGATTATATTAGTATAGAAATTTAATTGTTCATATCAACTTTAGTCTATTAGTATATAAAGTTAAGCTAATGATTGTATCGACTTAAGCTGATGAGTTTATTAACTTAAACTAACCATTGTCTTATAACCTTAGCTACAAAGTAAATTAGCCACCCAAAGGATAAGTAAAGGATTAGTTAGTTTACTCTAGGCAGCTATGCTTAAGAATTGAATCGAACCATTGACGTTACGGTCAGTAAAGTTTTACCATTAAACTACTTAAGCCAGTTCTACTTTGGTATAAAAAAAATTACTACCACCCTAGAATGATAATTAAATCATTATACCCAAGTAGAACAAAAAAAAGTAAGGCAAGTGATTTCCTACTTTCTATTTACATTAGGATCACAGGAAGCTAATTATGCTTATGCCTACGAGAGTTGTCGAGTTATAATGTCTATAAGACTTTCTGGTCTGTTCTATAGAAGGATTGAGGGGCGGGTGGCGGCCTATTGAGTTCAAATTTTCTGTACGGGGCCAGAATCTCAATGCCCGATCGACGAACTTTAATTACTCCGTGCTTTTTAGTTTTCAGCAGTAGCAATTTTCACATGCAGTACGTGGGGCCTCGCGGTTATTTAAGCAGTATAAGCCACCCTCCATTAATTTTACTTCTTGGAGCGGAAAAAATTAGAGGTATTGAGCTTATAGAAAATAGCAACTATAGTGGCCACTCTCAGTACAAAAAAATTATTATTAATAAGCGTATTCCAAAGTACCAGCTTACAATTTCCTCGAATGCTTCCAGAAGAGTGACAAGCGAAAAGCACGGGAAATACTTTTGCCTCTTTTTTCCACGCTAAATTATGTAACGCACCACGAAACACTAAGATATTTGGAGTTAGGTGAAATTAAGTCCTTAATAATGAATATATTTGACAAACAAATGATATTATTAGTAATAATTATTGTAAACATGATAACATCAACACCAGGTAGCTTAACCTATTTAACACACATATTTATTCTGCTACGGATCATTCTTACACCAGATAACTCAAAAAGCAAAATTCTTTGCAGATCTCGGCCTGGCATAAAGTATAAGTGCTTGTTAATTCATAAGTTTTACCTATGGTACCATTTTTGTTACTCGCATAAAAAAGAGCTGGTATCTTATTATAACGCCTAACAATGATGCAGCCACCGAAGGTGAGTGGGAGTTGATAGAGTATTATGAGCATTGTTAAAGCCTGTTCAATTCTGAGTCCAGACTATCATCGGGCTTTTTCAAGTTTTTATCTATACTATAATTGTTACTATTAGTAATAAAAGAAAGTTTGTAGTGTTATTACTAGTTGGTTTTCTATAATGGTTTCACAGTCATCAGCATTATTTGCACAAGTATTTTTACTGTGTTTCGCTAAGCCTATACGTTATCTGCTTGATCATACCCCTTACGACCCCATAACTGAGGAGGACAGCCAAGGCACCTCACACAGTTGTTAGAAATTTCACTTTTTCAGGCAACCATATAATATGCCATTCTAACTCTTCTTGGCTTATACTTGAAGAACTAACACGGTAATTACACGGAAGTGGAATGTTGGTAGAACAAAGTACATAAGTCTATTAATGAATTAAAAACCTTTGGAACTTAGAAAATTTTTCTAGCACAAAAAACTGATTTGCTAAATTATACAAACCATGAACCTGTTGACAACGTTATCAAA